GTTTAACTGCAGATGGTCGGGTACTTCATTGTCTGTTTGATCAACAAGGTATTTCGGTACGCGACACACTCCGTTCTGGAGATTTGGAAATGGTAGAACAGTTATTACGTCAACATTTTTCTACTAAGGGCATTGGTTATCTAGCACAACAGAAACGGTCTGACTTTGTGCCCATGGACCATATGCATCAGGTGGGTGGGTAGAGTTTTCGCAATTTGTCAGTAAAGAAGATGTCTGTTGCTATTATGAGTTTATTTTGTTGGCTGCTTTATCAAGTTTTGTCATAATCAAAAACAACTTTAATGGCACCGGATTGTTTATTTACAGCGGTTTGAACAGCTTCTTTCCAACGGTTTAGGGGAAAACGGTGGGTAATAAAACCTTCTGTTGTAAGTTTACCTTCACGGATAAATTTAGCGGTAAGGTCATAGGTTGATATTGTTTGTCCTTGCCATTGTTCAGCACCATGGGCAATTTCACCAATGAGATCTATTTCTTCATGCCAAATTGGTGTTAGATCAGCTTTGACTCGATGTAGGTGGACTCCTACAAGCATAACCGTTCCACCTGAGCGTGCTAATCGTAAGCTTTGTTCAATTGTCGTATCTGTACCAACACAATCATAGACGATATCAAATCCTCCGAGTGCTGTTTTATTATCAAAATCCCCTTGATAGTTTTTTGCGCCAGCTACCTGTTTAGCTGTTTCAAATAGATTGGTATTCGCGATGTGTGCTCCCCAGGATTTTGCTAAGTTTTTTTGTTGTGGGTAGCGAGCCGCTGCATAGACATTACAGGTTGGTTCTATCGCTTTAACTGCTTGAATAATGCCTAAGCCGATAATGCCACAGCCTATGACCAAAACATTTTGGTTTTTTTTGGGTTGTTTTCGTAGTACTGCTCTTACGCTACAAGCTAAAGGTTCGATGAGAGCTACTTGATCGTCTGTTAGATCTGTTGGTGCTTTCCAAACTTCAGTTTCATGGCAGCTATAACCATCACCCCAACCACCGCCAATGCCGGGTATACCTCCGTCTTCACAACGGTTGAGGCAGAGGCAATAATTTCCTGTCTCGCAATGTCTGCAGAGAGGTTCTATTTCTTTGCTGTGGCAGGTTGAACCCATAAAGCGTGATTTCATTAGGACACGGTCACCGACAGCTAATGTTGAAACACCGGGGCCAATTTCTGTAACTTCACTACAGACTTCATGGCCAAGATAGATACGGTCATTTGCAGGAAGTGCAGCGGGGTGTACTTTTGGGTCAACATCGACAAAAAGTAAATGTATATCGCTGGCGCAGATGCCACAGACTCGGTTTTTGACTTTGATACCTCGGGGACCAGGTAGGTTTGGTTCGGGTAAGTCTTGGTAAGCAATCGGTGCTATTGGTGTATAAATTGCACCTTGCCAAATTTTTTTTAGAGCTAATGTTGCAATAATTTTAGGGAGATTTTTTTCGAAATAAATAGAACGCATGATGATACCTGTTTAACAACTAATTTTTTATAGCATATCATCTATGTTTAATTGGTCTTTTGTGGCATAAAATAGGACCAATCTTCTTTATCTGCGACTGGTAAATTGTCAGGGTCAAATTTAGGGATGCTATAGCGTTTATAGATTATTGAGAAAGCATCTAAAGCTTTGTCTAAATGTTCTTTTGTGTGGGTTGGCATAACGCTGGTACGAATCAGTGATTGTCCACAAGGAACCACGGGGTAAGGGACTGGAATAGCAAAGACACCCATATCTAGTAGATCTCGAGCGATACGAAATGCTAGGGATTCAGAGCCAATCATTGTTGGTATGATTTGACTAACAGAATCCATAGTATAGTAGCCAATTTCGTCTAGTCCCTGCTTCCAGTAACGGGCATTCTCTCGAATTTTTGGTAAAATTTCGTCCGCTTCTTTTTGCATAACTTGTAAAGCTGCAAGGGCAGCGGCTGCAGATGCTGGAGGTAGGCCTGCTGTAAAAATGAGTGAACGTGTTTTATGTCGTAAATAATCAATAACCATTTTTTCACCAGCAACAAATCCACCGACACTAGCTAATGCTTTACTAAATGTGCCAAAGAGTAAGTCGACATCTTGTTGAACGCCTTGTTCAAAGATAGTTCCCCTACCTTGAGGTCCAAATACGCCAATGCCATGGGCATCGTCAACGTATAGCCGAAAACCGTATTGTCGCCGTAAAGCCGCAAATTCTTTTAGCTTGGCGATACGGCCAGTCATCGAAAAGACGGCATCAATGACGACGAGAGCATTTGACCAATTTTCTTGTTTGCTGAGCTGTTTTTCTAAATCGTCAGGATCTTCGAAAAGGCGGACTTCGCAAGGTGCTAGACGGGCGCCATCAATTAGGCTTGCATGATTTTCTTTTTCAGAAAAAATAATAGCATCTTGATGTTTTCCAAGGGTGTCCAAAACACCTATATTGGCGAGAAAGGCTGCACTAAATACGAGTGCTTGTTCATAGCCGAAGAAATTAGCTAGATTTTCTTCTAATTTTAGATGAAGTTTGAGGTTACCATTTAAGAAACGTGACCCTGTACAGCTAGTACCGAAGTCATTAATAGCTTGCTTGGCAGCAGCTAGGACTTTAGGATGGTGTGTAAGCCCTAGATAGTTATTGGAGCCAAGCATAATAATATCTTTACCTTCTAGCTGAACGACACTTCCTTCTGAAGATTCAAGAGGATGAAAGAAAGGATAGATGCCAGCCATCCGAGCAAAATTAGGTTCTAAATAGTTATAACAAGGTTGAAATATATCCATTTTATGTATTCACTTTTGTGTTGAGGTGTTGAGTTTGTTGATGCTGAATAGAATATCTATAGAGCTTGATTGACTATGAGGCTAGTATAGTGAAATTGATTATTGTGTATCAACTTGTAGACACGAAATTGGTAAGGCCAATTTGGCAGTGTTTTTAACTTGATAATCTATGCATAACTTTATAAAGGAGAAGTAATTCTATGCCTTTTCAGTGGCGACCCGATGGTGACTATGTTAAAGATTTACCCCGTTTACGTCGTATTATGCCTGTTATTATGCGAGGTAGAAACGAGTCTGCTGTTTTTTGGGAGCAAAAAATTAATGTGACAAAAACGGATGCTTTTATCAAAGCCTATAATGAAAAAACAGGTCGAAGAGTAACGTATCATCATCTTTGTATTTGGGCTTTTGTATTTGGAGCTACCAAATGTCCACGCATAAATCGTTTTGTAGCAGGTGGTCGTGTTTTTCAACGGCGTGGTATTTGGGTTTCTTTTTCTGGAAAAAAAGCAAAAACGGATCAGCATCCCCTGGTTACTGTCAAGCGTGAATTTAGTGCAAATTGGCCCTTTGATAAGTTTATTGACACTGTTGATGGTGATGTTAGCTTTGCTCGAAGTGACCAAGAATCTAAAGTCGATAAGGAATTAAAGCTCTTTTTTCGGTTGCCGACCATTGTTTTATGGTTGTTTGGTTGGTTAATTAAGGTTTTAGATATGTTTAATCTTTTGCCTGGCTTTTTTATTCGTACTGATCCCTTATTTGCGAGTGCTTTTATTGCCAATCTAGGTAGTTTAAATATGGATGCGGCTTACCATCATTTATATGAGTATGGCAATATACCCTTATTTTGCGTGATGGGTAAGCGTAAATTAGAACCAATAGTTAATCAAGAGACAGGTGAGATTTCTGTGCAGTCTATCGTGACAGTTAAATGGCTGTTTGATGAACGTATTGAGGATGGTCTTTATATGGCACGTGCACTGGATGTTTTTAAGGATTATTTTGAAAACCCTGAGCAGTATGTTCAAATTACACCAGGTCAGGAGACAATCTTGTGAGTGATATTAAACCATTGTTAACGTTACAAACGTACGAACTTGTTTTTCCTGAACATGCAAATCAGAATGGTGCAGCTTTTGGTGGTTTTGTTCTTGGGCTTATGGACAAAGGTGGTTGTTATGCTGCTGCTAAATTTGCGGGTAAGCCTGTTGTTACGGTTGCTGTTAGTGAAGTGCAATTTAAGGTACCGATTCGAGTCGGTGATTTAGTCGAAGTTGTTGCAAAGGTTATTGGTTCAGGCCGTACATCGATATCTGTACAGGTTGAAGTTTATCGTGAAAAGTTTGGACAAGCTGATCAACAACGTATGTTGGCTACGTTAGGGCATTTGACATTTGTTGCTGTTGATGAGACAGGTCAGCCCACAAAACTTGAGTAGTATTTTATGATGTGGTTTCAACAACGTATTACTTTAGCACCAAAGATACGAGGGTTTCATTTAGTTACAGGTGAAATTGAGCAGCAGCTACCAGAGTTACAGAAGATCCAGCTTGGTATTGCCAATTTATTTATCTTGCATACTTCAGCAGCACTCACTATTAATGAAAATGCGAGTCCAGATGTTTTGCAAGATTTAGAAAAAGATTTTGATCGGCTCGTTCCTGAGGGAACATCTTACTACCGGCATACACAAGAAGGTTTAGATGATATGCCTGCACATACCAAAGCATCACTTGCTTCAACGTCGCTTACAATACCTATCAGAAATGGACAGTTTTATTTTGGTATGTGGCAAGGTATTTATTTGTGTGAATTTCGTAACAAAGGTGGTCCTAGAAGTCTTGTGATTACTTTGTTTGGTACATAGTTTTTAAGATTCCCAAATAATTTTTTCTTTAGATGAATACCAACTATCTAGTTTTGGAGCGTAAGTATCTTCTAAAATATTGCGTTTGATTTTCATTGTTGGTGTTAAAAAACCATTTTCAATTTGCCATTCATCTTGGACAATAACCATAAATTGTAACTTTTCATGAGGTTCAACTTCTTGGTTTACTTGATAAAAAAGCTGTGTCAATGTTTCCGTCAATTGTTGTTTAATATCTGATTCCTGGACGCGCCCACGCCATTGATCAGATAGCATCACAAGTGCATAACAGGCTGGATAGCCAGAGCCCGCAACACAAGATTGCTCGATATGGGGATCGGCGTTAATTAGGTTTTCAATGGGAGCCGGTGCTACATATTTACCTTTGCTGGTCTTAAATAGTTCTTTTACTCGGCCTGTAATACGTAAACGTCCTTGAGTATCAATCTCTCCACGGTCTCCAGTTTTTAAGAAGCCATCTTTTGTAAAAGATGCCTGAGAAATTTCGGGCATCTTGTAGTAGCCTGTCATATCGGCAGGGCTTTTTACAAGGATTTCTCCTTCATCACTAATTTTGTGTTCAACGCCAGGTAGTGTATTTCCTACATAACCTATGCGTGTTTTTCCTGGTAGGTTTGCATGGGAATACGCAAAATTTTCAGACATGCCATAGGCTTCTAAAAGTTCAAGTCCAAGTTTACGGTACCAGTTAATCAGATCTGGTGGGATCGGTGCAGAGCCGCTAATTGCTAGACGACAGGCGTCGAGACCCAGCCCTTTGAGAACCTTCTTTTTAATAATATTATTTAATACGGGAATTTTGAGTAAACGATCTAATTTTTTTGCAGGCATTTTTTTGAAAACACCGAGTTGAAATTTTAACCATAGTCTAGGTACGGAGTGAAAAAGTGTTGGACGTGCTCGTTGTAGATCGCGAATAAAAGTATCTAGAGATTCAGCGAAAAAGAGTTGTGTACTGTTATATAAAGAGCCAATTTCTACGACCGCACGTTCGAATACGTGTGCTAGTGGTAAATAAGATAGTTGACGATCTGTTTTTGCAAGTTGGAAAATTTCTTCGATTCCTAATGCTGCTACTGCTAGATTATGAAAACTATGTACAACTCCTTTTGGTGTGCCGGTACTGCCAGAGGTATAAACAATGATAGCCGTTTCGTTGGCGTCTCGTTTAGGGTTTTCTTCTATAGGGTTAGTTTCAGCAATAATCGTATCCCAGGTTGGGTAGTCATTTGGCGGACTTGATGGATAAGAGACCATTGGTAGCCCTTCAGGTACGCCAGGCTTCATATCTTGCCAGGTGTCTAATTTTCCAACAAAGAGTAATTTTGCTTCGCAGTGTGTCAGAATATAATTGACAGTTTCAGCATTCAGTGTTGGGTAAATTGCTACAGATGTGTGACCTGCCATCCAAATTGCTAAATCTGTCATGATAAAATGGGCACAGTTTTTTGATAGAATTGCGATATTACTACCTGGTTCAAAATTGAAGGATTTGATATAAGCGGCAATGCGTTTTGCTTCATCTATGGTTTGAGACCAGGTATATTCTTTAACAATTCCTTCGCCCATAGGCTGAGTCATATAGACCCTGTTGGGTTGTGTTGTTGACCACTGAAAAGCACGTTCTAGGGGTAAAATGTTTGTGTTAGCTCTCATGCTTATAAACTCCGAAATATATGATAGTTTGATGTTTTAGAGTCATTATTCTACTCGAAAAAATATAGAGAACAATTATACTATTATTTTTTAGAATTTCTATTTATGATAACTAGTTCCAGGTTTGGTTGTGTCTACAACTATTTAGATACCTTAGCAGTTTTTTTGGGCAGTTCTATTTAGGCTATTCATTATGTTGATGAAGTTACAATTCAGGATGGTTTTTTTATGGCTAGGCATAGGTGTTAGCTATATCTTGTTTGTTATTTCTTATGAAAGAATTACATTGAAGCATGTTGAATTAGAGACGCACAAATATGCTGAAATGTTAGGTATGCATGTCTGGAATTATGATATGAATGCAGTTCAAAATTTTTTAGAAATTATTGTACGTGCTTCCGAGTATGAAAAAATTGATATCTATAATATAGACGAATCTTTACTTAAACAAAGTGAAGAGATCAAGCGTTCTGGTGTTTTGGACAAATTGTTTTGTTCTTTAGGTCTTATTCGTACCATTGAAATACAGTCACCATTAGTATATCGAAATAACAATATTGGTCAGTTGAGACTGTATTGGTTGAATAAAAATATTTATCATTATTTACGCATTTTAATTGTTATTATTTTACTTGTTGGCTTAGTACAGTACGCCGTAAGTGTATCTGAACATAAACGAGCATTGCAAGAGCGCCGACGTATCGAACAAGTTTTACGAGACTCCGAGGCAATGTGGCGATCTCGTGTTACTGAAGCACCAGAGATGATTATAGAGATTAGTTTAGACTTTGAGGTTCTCTATATTAACCAGACAGATCTTTTATTTTTACCTGCAGAGGTATTGCTTGGACGCAATATCTTGGATTTTATACCAGAACCATTTCAGGATAAGGTTTTAAAGGTTGCTGAAATTATTACTACAACTCTTAAACCGCAGTCTGTAGAAATAGAGATCATCAGTCCAAAAACAGGTGAAATACGGACTTTTTCGGCGCGAGCACGTCCGATTCTTCAAGATGGAGAAGTTGTATCATTAACCGGTGTCGCAACAGATATTACTGAACGTAAACAGACAGAAGAGGCGTTACAACGGGCAAAGTATGAGGCAGATCAAGCCAACCGCCTTAAAACAGAATTTTTAGCCAACATGAGTCATGAAATTCGAACTCCATTGAATGTTATTCTTGGGTATACGTCATTAGTAGAACAATATACACAACAATATTTATCAAAGGAACGAATTGCTTATTTTGAACATATTCGTCATGCCTCAAGGCGTCTTCTGGATACGATACAGAAAATTATTGATATATCACGGTTTCATATTGAAGATTTTCCCTTTGAAAAACAGCCAATTTGTTTAAATCAGGCGTTGAGTGAATGTGTTGATGAGCTGCAGGTTTTGGCAGATCAAAAAAACTTAACATTAGAATATGAAAAGTTAGAGCAAGATTTATGGGTTCAATTTGATCCGTATGCATTGCCTCAGGTGTTAACTAATGTTATTGAGAACGCTATTAAATATACAGACTCTGGATTTATTTCTATCAAATTAGCTGCGACGTCGAATCAGGTAAATTTGAATGTTACTGATACAGGTATAGGTATTAGTGATACTTATTTACCACATATTTTTGACGAGTTTTCACAAGAAGAAGTCGGTTATGGTCGTGCATATGAGGGGACCGGCCTTGGCATGGCTTTAGTAAAAAAGTTTATTGATTTAGGTAATGGTGAACTTCGTATTCGTAGTGAGAAAGGTACTGGTACAACAGTTACCATTAACTTACCACGATATATTCCAGATGCTATAGTGGAACAAACTGTTCAGCCTGTAATACCTCAAGATCAAGAAGAAGAAAAAATAGTTGACCGTCCAACGATTTTAGTTGTAGAAGATGATCTTTCAACACAGGAATTTATGCAGACAGTATTACAAGATCAATGTAATGTTTTGATAGCAGATAGTCGGTCAGAGGTTGAAGCTGTTTTAGCAAGAGAGTGCCCGGAACTTATTTTTTTAGATTTATCATTACGTGAAGGGGAAGATGGTGCTGAACTTGTTCGTCGTTTACGTCAGCAGGACGACTTGAGGACACTTCCTATTATTGCTCTTAGTGCTCATGCAATGGATATTGATCGTGAGCGTGCTCTTGCAGCGGGTTGTGATGATTATCTTGTCAAGCCATGTTCATTAGATAAATTGTTGTCAATGATTAGACAATATACGTAAGTAAGTCGGTTTTTTTGCTGTTTGCTAAAATTAAGTTTCTAATAAATCCCTATTATTGATTTTGATAAAGAGTTATTTAAAAGTTATATGACGACAGAACAAACTAAAATTGTACTAACAGGTATTAAACCGTCTGGAGAATTGCACTTAGGTAATTATTTAGGTGCTATAGAGCCGGCTTTAGCTGAAGTTACTCAGCACCGAGGTTTTTATTTTATTGCAGATTACCATGCTTTGACGACTGTCCGAGACCCTATACGTTTTGAGCAGCAGATTTATGAACTTGCAGCTGCTTGGTTGGCATTAGGTCTAAATCCTGATCAAGTTGTTTTTTATCGACAGTCACAGGTCTCAGAAATTTTTGAGTTATTTTGGATTCTTGCTTGTGTAACACCAAAGGGAATGTTAAACCGGGCCCATGCTTACAAGGCAGCTATGGAGCAAAATCAGAGTCTCGGTCAGGATGTTGATTTTAATGTTCAGGCAGGTTTGTATAATTATCCGATATTGATGGCTGCTGATATATTGGCGTTTGATACAGATATTGTTCCTGTTGGCCAGGACCAGAAGCAACATCTTGAAATGGCACGTGATATGGCTAATTCTATCAATGCTATATATGGTCCTGTTTTAAAGCTACCTGAAGCCAAGATTCGTGAACAGGTTAAAACGGTACCTGGTATTGATGGACAGAAGATGAGTAAATCTTATGATAATGTCATCCCTATTTTTGCATCAGGTAAGACGTTACGTAAACGTATTATGTCAATTGTGACAGATTCTAAGGGGCTTGAAGAATCCAAAGATCCAGATAGTTGTAATTTATTTGCTATTTACCGTTATTTTGCTGATCCAGAAGCAGTCCAGGCAACACGTCAGAAGTATCTTGATGGTGGTTTAGGGTATGGTTACTTAAAACAGGAACTTTTTGAGCTGTTGGAGTTTCGCTTTAAAGATCAGCGTGATTATTATTATGAATTGTTGGCAGATAAATCTAAGCTTGACCAGATTCTTGCCCAGGGAGCAGAAGAGGCAAGGGCTATGGCGATACCTGTTCTAAAACGAGTTAGAAAAGCTATTGGCATTATTTAAAAGTAATCTAAAAAAGTAAGGATGTAGATTAGTTTTTCCAAGGAATTGGTAAACCTAAATGTATAAATTTTTCTTCCAACTCTCGGCGTTCACGATTACGTTTTAGACCTTTTTCTCCATAGCTGAGTAAGCCTATTTCTTTTGCACGCTGGATTCCTGCTTCTGGACCAGCTGTTAAAGTTGCTTGTAGGATTTCTGTTTCAAGTTGAGAGAATTGGGTTGCATGGTAGCGATAGTCAAGAAAGGCTTCCCAGGCGATGGGGCACCATTTTTTGACAATTTCTTCGCCTATTGTCTTTGCGTAACAACGAATTTCATACTGTGCATGGTCATCCATACGTAAGCGCAAAAAATGGAACAAGTTATGTAAGTTGACTTTCCAATAGGCTTCTGTATACGTTGAGAGTGGTAAATCTTTACGTGCTTGTTCTCTGGCAATGCCGTTATCTAATCGTTCATTGTATACATCAACGGCAAGTGTTTGAAGTTCTTGTTCCCGTTGGCTTAATGTATTGCCTATTTTAGTGTCGATATTACCTGAACTTCCCTGATTATTATCTGTTGACTGTAAACGCCAAGAATCTTTAGCAGTACGTTGAGTGGAGTCTATAGCCTCTGAGTATCGTGTCGAATACTCGTTAACACTTGCTGTGCGATGCCGGATCCATTGGCGCCAGATATCCATTGGAACTCTTACATGCAATTTGATTTCGCACATTTCGAAAGGTGTAGAGTGCCAGTGTCGCATTAAATATCTTATTAGTCCGCGGTCTTTATTGACTTGTTTTGTACCAGAGCCATAAGAAATACGGGCTGCTTGGACGATCGAGGCATCTGAGCCCATATAGTCAATAACGCGTAAGAAACCGTCGTCTAAGACGTCAAAACGTTTTCCAAGAATACGATCTAATTCTGGGGCATTAACCCGCTCTAAGGTTTCTACTTGTGTATCCACTGGTCTTGGTCTAGTCTAATTTAAAGTTGATTGTTAGTAATATTGCTAGTTTAGTCTTTACGAACGGCTTTACGTTTACGTTTGTCTTGGTACATAGCCTCATCAGCTTCTTTGAGTAACTCTTGAATTGGACGGGAGCTTCCAGGTTCAAAACGTGAAAAGCCAATACTCATTTTAAGATCATAGTCGCGACGTTTCTGTGTATTATGCCGTGTTAGCATGGCTTGTAATCTGTCTCGTACGAGTTCTTCTGTCTGATCTTCTGTTTCCATTAGCAATGCTGCAAACTCATCACCGCCTAGTCGTGCGATAAGGTCTGTTGCACGAAATGTACGTTCAAGTACTGCACTTGCAGCAACAATGGCGTGATCACCTTCTGAATGGCCAAGAGTATCATTGATTTTTTTCAGTCCGTCAAGGTCAATAAATAGAATTAGCATGCTTCTTTTTGTACGTTCTGCTAGTGCTGCATATTCATGAGCTAGTGCATGAAAACCACGTTGGTTATAAAGGCCTGTTAATTCATCTTTTAATGTTCTTGTACGTATTTTATCTTGTAACTGCTGTCGTTCTATGGCGTAGTTAATAGAACGTGCAAGAGCAAATTGATCTGTTTTTCCTTTGATGAGATAGTCTTGAGCACCTTGGCGGACTGTTGTTAGAGCTAGTTCGTTGTCATCTACGCTTGTAAAGATAACAATAGGTAAATTGGTTGAACGCTCTTTAAGAGCTAAAAAGGTGTCAATACCACTGCTATCATCAAGCATCAGTTCAGATAAGACAAGATCAAAAGAATTTTTATCTATTGCTTCAAGGCCTTCTTTAAGGGTCAGGATGTGTTTTAAAGAGAAATGTCTTTCTAGCTGTTCTTTTAGCGTGTTTTGAACCCACTCTGTGGCGCGTTTAGACTGTTCAAGATAAAGGATATTGATGCGTGATCGTTGTATCATCTAAAAATTATTAATTGTCGTTATAGTATTTTGTCTAGTTAATAAAATTCTATGTAAAAGTCTATACTTACATATCCTGGCTATCGTTGCCAACTTTTGATATTTCGATATTTTGTAATACATTTACTTCTCTACAGTAAGATAGCAGAAATTGTATCATCAATAAATACGGTTGTTTATACTTTGTCTGAAAGTTGTTATTTTAGTGTGACAAATTCTTCAGCTGCTGTGGGGTGGATAGCCACCGTGTTATCAAAATCTGCTTTGGTTGCACCCATTTTGAGCGCGACTGCAAATCCTTGAATCATTTCGTCTGCACCTATGCCAATAACATGGATGCCTACAATTTTTTCTTGATCACCTACAACAATTAGTTTCATAACAGTAGTCGTTTTTCTCTCTGTTAATGCATGATAAAGGTTTGTAAATTGTGTTTGATACGTTTTGATATTTTGGATGCCGTATTGTTGCTGTGCTTCTTGTTCTGTAAAGCCAACCGTACCTATCGGAGGGTGGCTAAAGACGACAGTTGGAATATTGTTGTAATCAAGTTTTGCCTCGGGTTTGCTTCCAAATAAGCGGTCTGCGAGTTTACGACCTGCAGCAATAGCAACAGGTGTAAGGGCTAAGCGTCCCGTTACGTCTCCTACTGCGTAGATACCTGCTACTGTTGTATTTTGATATGCATCTGTTTGAATATGGCCTTTGTTATCAATATCTATACTAGTTTGTTCTAAGTTTAGATGTTGTGTATTGGGTTGACGTCCAACTGCCCAAAGAATGTTATCGAAGTCGTTTAACTCGTTATGATGATTACAAATAATAGATAGAGAGTTATCTGGTTGTTTTTGTAGTTTTTTTATACTTGTATTTTTGTAAAGCCGGGTGCCAGATTGTGTTAACATTTCTATCAATGCTTTCTGTAAGCTTATATCAAACTGACGTAATGGATACTCATGGCGTATGATTAGGTTCGTGTCCGTTCCTAAAGCAGTTAAGATGCCAGCAAGTTCAACAGCAATATAGCCAGCACCAATAATAGCTATACGTTTTGGTTGTTTTTCTAGCTTAAAAAAATCGTCTGATGTTAATCCTAAATGACTACCAGGAATATTAGGTTTCTGAGGCTTCCCACCCGTTGCTATCAGGATATGCTCGGCGTGAATGGTTGTATTATTTACACGTACTGTTTTATTGTCAGTAAAATGTGCCCAACCAGACAAGACTTCTATATTACTAGTGTCAAGGTTGCGTTTATAGATATTGTTTAAGTAGTGAATGTAGGTTTCTCGTTGTTGTTTGAGATGGAGCCAATTGATTGGTGATGGACTTATTTGGTCAAAACCATAATCTTTTGCGTCGTGTAGTGTCTCTGCGATTATAGCGCTATTCCACATGATTTTTTTTGGCACGCAGCCAACATTAACGCAGGTCCCACCAAGATGCTTGCCTTCAATAACAATTGTTTTTGCTCCTAAGGACGCAGCTTTACGTGCGGCGGCAATGCCCCCACTACCACCTCCTATAACAAGAAAATCACATGTTTTCATTAAAAGGCCTATAAATGTACGCCGATTTAGATAGCGATACTCAGTTTAAAAAGGTTTAAAGACGCCTAAGGCAATCAGGATCGAAAAGCCTACTAAAGATAGAGTAAACCATAAGCCTTTTAATGGTTGCTGGCTGTCACTTAAATTCTTTTGAGCTGTACGCAATGGTAACAAGGCAATAAAGAGCTCAAATAGTGTAATTAATAGTTTGGTATGGACAAATCCCATACGAGCGTAGGTTGGAGTTAGGAACGTTAACCAAAGCCCAGCACCGATTGTTAATGCTGCTCCGATAAAAAGTGTAATCCATAAGGCGCGAAGTTGAGTTGCTAATGTTGTACCAATGGCTGGTTGAAATAGTTTTTCTCGTCTTAAAAGGCCTGCAAGAGCTGTTTGGGCTCCCATCCATTGGGCAAAGCCGATAATGTGGATAAATAGTGCTAAGTCGCGCATAGGTTAACCTCCAAAAGGGTTCCAAGATAAAGCATTTTCTTGACGTCCGGGTCCAACAGATATGAGTGAAATTGGTACGCCTAAAGCTTCGGTGATTGTTTGGATATAAAGCTGTGCATTTTTTGGTAAGTCTTTGGGATGTTTGATCTCACGAATATCTTCTTGCCAGCCATCGAAATCACGATAAATAGGTTTTAGTTGTGAGAGCATATTTGGGTCTGATGGGAGTTCAGTGATTTGTCTACCATCAAGTTGGTAAGCTTCTGCAACTTTAATGGTTTTTAATCCACTTAAGACATCTAGTTTAGTAATTGCTAAGTGTGTGAACCCATTTAGCCTTACAGCTGTACGTAAAAGTGGTAAGTCAAGCCAACCACAACGGCGGGGACGTCCAGTTGTGGAACCAAATTCCGAGCCACGTTCTCGTAATGTTTGGCCAGCATCATCGTCAAGTTCTGTTGGGAAAGGTCCCGCTCCTACACGTGTTGTGTAAGCTTTAAAAATGCCAACAATATTATTTAGGCATGTTGGACCAACACCGCTACCAATAGCTGCATTTGCGGCAACGGTATTTGAACTTGTTACATAGGGATACGTTCCATGATCAACATCTAGAAATGTACCTTGGGCGCCCTCAAATAAAATCTTTTTAGTATCTTGGTTTGCTTGATAGATACGTTTAGAAACATTGTCAATGTAAGGTGCCAGTTGAATACCTTGTTCGACTAAAAGATCTATAATTTCTGTTAATGGAGGTAATTTATAATCTGTATCTCCTGTTACTGGTATTTGTCGAAATGTCGCAACTTGTTCAATTTTCTGTTTTAAACGTTTAGGATGACGGAGATCTTGAACATGGATGCCAAGACGCGCAACTTTGTCTTCGTAGGCAGGGCCAATACCTCGTCCCGTTGTTCCAATTTTTGCACTACCACGCCTGTATTCACGATAGCTGTCTAGATAACGATGATATGGCGTAATGATATGTGCACGATCGGAGATTTTAAGGCGGTTAGGTGTTACATCAATGCCTGCTGATTTTAGTTCCGTAATTTCTTGTAAAAGGATCGTTGGGTCCACGACAACGCCATTACCGATAAGGTTAAGTGTATCTGAGTGTAGAATACCGCTAGGAATGAGATGAACGACAAATGTTTTATCTTCAACGACGAGTGTATGGCCGGCATTATTACCACCTTGAAAGCGGACAACATAGTCTGCTTGAGAAGCAAAGATATCGACAATTTTTCCTTTTCCTTCATCTCCCCACTGGGCACCGATAATAACAGTATTAGTCATGATGATTAAGCTCTCTAGATTCTATTTTTTTGTTGGTAGTGGGGTCGATAATAATGGTTTGGCCGTTTTCTTCGATAGCGATACCGTCTAACCCGTGTGCAATTGCCCAAGATTTTGGGTCTTCAATCGTATTATCTATCGGTAATATTTGATCTTTAGTTATCTTTGGTATTGGTTCGGTACTTGCCCAAAGGATGCGCCTGCGATGTGGAAGAAACATTTTTCCGCTATCTGCAGCATCCATCAATGGGTCGAGATCTAGTGTGAATCCGATGGCATCGACTGATGCAGAAAAACGTCCATCATAGCGTCCACCACGTAGCCAAGGATCATGTTCTATACCTGAGCTTAGGCCAAAGAATATACCTGTGTAATATGAATAATCTGGGCGGCCAATTGGATCAATGACAACAGAAAGATTGTTGTTAAAGGTCTCCGTTTTTGTCATTAGATCAAGAATATATGTTTGAATTTGCTTTGGTAACTTTGTAATTTGGTGTTTGTCTTGGATTGTCAGTAATGGTAAGTCAGGATAAGCTGGATCGCCAACCTGTCGCCATAGGCTTAAGTTACGTGTATCTAGTGCTGTTTCTGCAGCCTCTGGATTTTTTAGATTAAGGACTTTTTTCCAGGTCGGGCGTAGTGCTGCATGGCCTACGATTAGTGTAGTTGGGCTACTAATTAATTGCTGGGTGAGTATTTCAATTAGGGCTAGAAGATCTTTTTCTGCGTATTCGCCGGGGCCAATCCATTCGACACCGGTTTGAATTTGTTCTTTTGCTCGTGTGCCAAGTGTACGGTTCATCCAAACACGCTCAATGTAATAGAGTTTAAATGGTGTTGGTAAGTGGTTGAGATCGGTATCAACAATTCTTCGTATTTGATTGGTAAGATCTTGTCTTAGCCCAAGCATGTTTCCTGTTTCAGATTCTTTGAAAGCAATTGCCTCTGAAGGTTGCAGTAGTTCGTCAAAAGGGACAAAAGTACTAGGCATAATACGCCGTGCTCCCCAGGATTCAAACGTATCTGTACATAAACGAAATATATCTGAGAGTCGTTCTGCACGGTTTAGAAGGTATTCTCTAGCACCTTTAGCGATTCTGGGATTGGTCATTTATGGGCTACAACTACTATTTAATGGTAGATATTTATACAAGTGTAATAATTTAATAAGAGAATTTTAGTATAGACAGTATTAACTCAGATTGATTAAACATTTTACTAGTAGTCTGGTTTATAGCAGAACTTGTCGTACTTCAATAATTTCATTTAGCTTTTTAAAGTCATCAAGTATTTTTTCGTTGATCATAGCATCTAGGGCAATAACTGTGAGTGCTAGTTTTTCTTTATTTGTGCGGCCTACGTTCATTTGCGCAATATTAACATCAGAATCGCCTAAAATGGTACCAATACGTCCGATAACACCGGGTTGGTCGCGGTTGGTTGCAAAAATTAATGGACCCTGTGCAATCAATGGTTCTAAGCGAAAATTATTAACACGGACAACACGAGGTTCATTGTTGCCGATGATAGCTCCTGTTGCACAGGTTTCGGTATTTTTGCCTTTAATGGTTATTTGTATACTAGATCTATAATCACTCGTTTGTGAACTTTTAGTTGTTTCTATGTTAATACCGCGAGCTTTTGCAATATTGCGTGAGTTAATATCATTGACTGGGTCTTCAATACCAAATGCTAATATTGCTGTAATCGCTTTTGAAACGATTGGAGATGTGTCTTGTATGGTATTTTCTCCACCAAATCGAACACAGATTTGTTCGACTGTATCGTCATGAAGTTGAGCTGCTAATGAACCTAATTTACTTCCTAGTTCTAAATAAGGTCCAAGGCTAGACAGAAGCTTACCGCTAATGCTAGGTGCATTTACGCCATTACAAATTTCACCCTTAATTAAAAAATCAACAATTTGTTGTGCGACATCGACAGCAACTTTTGTTTGTGCTTCTACTGTACTAGCACCAAGATGTGGTGTATAAATGACCTTTTCATTTATTAAAAGTGGATGATCTTTTGCTGGTGGTTCTTGTGCAAAAACATCTAGTGCAGCAGCAGCAATTTCACCATCTTTTAGTGCTTGGTCAAGGGCGTTTTCGTCAACGATACCACCACGTGCACAATTTATTAGAATTGCAGATGGCTTCATTGCTTTAAGCCGCTTTTGATTGATTAGGTGATGTGTTTTTTCATTGGACGGTACATGAAGCGTTAAAATGTCTGCACGGGTTATAACGTCATCAAGTTCAGCTAATTCAATGCCTAGCTGTTTCGCACGTTCTTCTGAAATAAATGGATCAAAGCCGAGAATGTTCATTTTGAGGCCAAGGGCACGTTCAACAACAAGAGAACCTATATTACCAAGTCCTGCTATACCTAGTGTTTTTCCTGATAATTCTGTACCGATAAAGCTTTTACGATCCCAGTGACCATTTTTAAGTTTGTTGTAGGCTTGGGGTATACGTCTGGCAGCAGCCATCATAAGTGCTATGGTATGTTCAGCCGTTGTGATAGCATTACCGTGTGGTGTATTCATTACAATAATACCATGTGCTGTTGCCGCTTCTAAGTCGACATTATCAACGCCAATACCGGCACGACCAATAGCTTTAAGTCTGGTGTTTTCTGTTAATAGATCTGCTGTAATTTTAGTACCGCTACGGATAATGACGGCATCTACTTGATTGAGTTGTTGCTTTAGAGCAGCTGTATCTAAGTCTGTTTCAACTAAGACGTCGATTGTGTCTATAGAATTCAGAATTGCTAGGCCAGCATTGCCTAAAGGGTCACTAACGAGAACTTTATGGTTTGTCATGTTGTCTTATCCTTTAGCATATCCTTCTTTTAGGATGTCCATTGCTGCTGCGGGGCCTCTACCAAAGTGAACGGGATGCCCAAGGCGATCTAGACCTAATTCTATAGCTGTTAGACCAGCAATAATATCAAATGTGTCAACGTAACCTAGATGCCCGATACGGATGATTTTTCCTTTAAGTTTTGCTTGGCCACCAGCGATGGTTACACCAACCGTATCTCGTAAATATTTGACAAGCGCGCCGCCATCGACACCATCTGGTACCCAAGCAGCTGTTACAGAGCGGCTGGGTGCTTGAGAATAGAGCTTTAGCCCAATAGCTTGTAAGCCTGACTGGGTAGCCTTTGCAAGACGTTGGTGGTGCTCGAATATGTTATCTAGACCAGTATTTAAAACGTTTGTTAATACTTCATGTAAACCATTGATGAGGCTAACAGGTGCTGTCCAGGCAGTTGTTCTTTGTTCTACTTGTGCTTTTTTTTCTTTACATAAATCGAGGTAGTAAGTACTTGTTTTTTGGTGTGATTCTGCACGTTGCCAGGCACGTTCACTTAATGAAATTGTTGCTAAACCAGGTGGTAATTGTAAGGCTTTTTGGCTACCACAGACTAGAGCATCTATACCCCATTCATCCATCTGTAGCGGAAAACAACCAACACCTGTTATGCCATCGACGCATAATAGAACCTGATTATGCTGTTGATGTATTATTTTTGCAAGTTCCTCAATCGGATGTTCGGTTGCTGTTGAGGTTTCTGAAGCTTGAACAAAAACAGCAACAATATCGGAGGTCTCAGCGAGTTTTTGTGACACAATCTTTGGGTCAACGGCTTCACCCCAAGGAACATCGATATTGATTGAAATGCCGCCATAAGCTGTAACTAATTCAGACCAACGTTCGCCAAATTTTCCTGCTCGTACAATGAGTGCCTTGTCATTGGGAGCAATAAGGTTTGCGACAACAGCTTCCATGCCTGCGGTGCCACTACCGCTGATCATGAGGACTGGTTGTTCGGTTTGGTATAGCTCTCGGAGCATACCTCCAGTTTCTGTTAGAACCTGACTAAATTGAGGTGTCCTATGATGAATTATGGGCTCAGCCATACGTAATAACACCCTTGGTGGAACAGGTGTTGGGCCAGGAGCAAGTAGTAATTGTTTTTTCACAGAGAACTTTCCTTAAGGCTTTTTAGGATAAGATATGTTTAGTTTGTGATCTGGATTGATTATTATTCCACAGATCAAAAGACCTTATTGTCAACATGATTATAAAGTTATAAAATTCTGTAAACAGCCTATTTTAGGAGTTTTTGTCTATATGGCTTTTCTTGGGGTCCCTTTGGAATGTATACTTTACGGTTTTGGAAGTCGTCTTGTCAATTGATCCTTATGCTATTGTACCGCTAAAGGCGGGGCTTAAAACTCATTTAATCGGTATTTGTGGAACCGGTATGAGTGCCCTTTGTCGCATCTTATTAGATTGGGGTTTAGAAGTTTACGGTAGTGATTTACGGATTGAGCCACCTGTGGGGCCAGCACTTGAATCTTGGGGAGTACCTGTTTCACTTGGTTATGAACAACAGACACTCGCTTTGGATACAGAGTTGGTGGTTGTTGGTAATGCGGTTACTGCTAGTAACGTAGTTGCGAAGGAAGCGCAATTACATGGTATGTCAGTTACACATATGCCTGCGTTATTAAATCGTCTACTAGGAACAACACGTCAACGTATCGTGATTACTGGGACTCATGGGAAAAGTACAACAAGTGCAATTGTTGCATGGTTGCTGAAGCAGGCAGACAAAGACCCTGGCTGGTTTATAGGTGCGACACCTGATTTTGGTCCTTCTGGTTGTCTTGGTAGCGGTCCTTTTGTGATTGAAGGTGATGAATATAATGCATCATTTTTTGACCGTGATGCAAAATTTTTTCATTATGCCCCTAATTTTTTGGGTATTACTAATGTTGAATTTGATCATGCTGATCTATATAAGGATCTAGCAGAGATTGAAGTGGCGTTTCGTAAATTATTACAAAGTATGCCTGTTGGAGGTGTTGTTGTTTTAGCTGACGATGCCAAACGTTTTTTGAATGATGTACCAGAGCATGTTGAAGGCTTTGTATTATCTGAGTGTGGCTTTTTATTGCAGGAATCAAATCGTGACGGTGTCGAATTTATGTTAGCTGGCCAACGTCTTTCCTTTCCTCTCCCGGGACACCACGAAGCGGTTGATGCAGCAATAGCAGCGTTGTTAGTCCATCGTATTGGTTTAGATTGGGAACAGATTAAAGCCGGTCTTGCAAGTTATCCTGGTTTGCGTTTACGTCAAGAGGTTTTGTTACATAAACCAGTACGTATTATTCGAGATTTTGGTCACCATCCAACGGAAGTGCGAGTGACTCTTGCAGGTTTACGTGATGCTTGGCCAGAGCAGCCGATTACCGTTGTTTTTGAACCACGCTCCTATACAAGTCGTACGGATCGTTTTCGTTTAGATTATGTAGATGCCTTTTCTGCTGCTGATCGTGTTTTGATTGCGCCGGTATATAACCCCTCTACCTTAAAAGAACCAGCGCTTAACACCTATGCATTAGCAGATGCCATTGGCAATCAGGCAACGGCTTTTGCAAAATATGAGATATTATGGGAAACCATTTGTTCTTTGGATAATCGTCAAGGTGTTGTTATCTTTTTTAGTAATGGCACGATGAATCAGTTTCCAGAGCGGTTTGTTGAGGAGGTTATGCGATGACACATCAGGTTGCAGTGTTGGGTTCGGGATCGTTTGGGATCTGTTTAGCTATTCTGGCAGCTCGGGCTGGTCATCGGACAATTTTGTGGGGGCGTAACCCAGACACAATGTTACACCTTGAAAGAACACGGTCTCATCCTATTCATTTGCCACAGGTCAAGCTGCCCGATTCTTTGGAAGTTACGTCAGATTTGGGTGATGTACTGCAGGTCGCTTGTTTAGTTCATGCTATTCCAGCACAACAGACTCGTATTTTTTGGCAAGATTTACAAGATGCAATTACTGTTGATACAAAACTATTATTAGCAACAAAAGGGTTTGAAGAAAATACAGGGTTACGACTAGATGAAGTATTTACAGATCTTTTTGGTGAACAATGGGTAGCTAGGCAGCTTGCAGTTTTAAGTGGGCCGACGTTTGCTGCAGAGCTTGCTCAGCAAATGCCTAGTGCAGCGGTCGTGGCTTCAAGGAATGAAGCTATAGCCACGTTTTGGCAACAGCTATTTTCAAGCGATAAATTAAGGCTTTATACGTCTAAGGATTTAATTGGTGTTCAGGTTGCCGGTGCTTTTAAAAATATTATTGCTATCGCAGCTGGCATTAGTGAGGCGATGCAAGTTGGGCTCAATGCACGAGCTGCTTTAATTACAAGAGGACTTGCTGAAATGATACGTTTTGGTGTTGCACAGGGTGCTGATCCTGCGACGTTTAGCGGGCTTGCAGGTTTAGGAGATCTTGTTTTGACGACGACGGGTCATTTAAGTCGTAATCGTCAGCTTGGGTATCGTATTGGTTTAGGCGAGTCCCCTAGTGATATTTTAGGGTCAGCAAAAGAAGTAACAGAAGGTGTTGCTACAACTGCAAGTGTTTACAGACGTGCTCAAGAAATGGGAGAGAGCCTTCCGATTACAGAACAGGTTTTTCAGATTCTTTTTTATGGTAAAGATCCAAAGCGGGCTGCTTTGGAATTTATGCAGCGAACATTAAGACCAGAATAAAATGACTAAAGTTGTAAACGATATATAATTTGCTTTATAAATTTTAAGTATCCTAAATTTAATGACATTAATATTTTTGAGGAGGTGAAACAATGAGTTTAAATAGAGTTACGTTGATAGGTAATCTTGGTGGAGATCCTGAAGTTAGAGTCACCCAGAGTGGAACGAAGGTTGCTAATTTACGTGTTGCTACTAACGAACGGTGGCAAGATCGAGATGGTAATACACAAGAGCATACGGAATGGCACCGTGTTGTTTTTTATAATAAATTGGCAGATATATGTGAGCAATATTTAGGTCGAGGTCGTCGAGTTTGTGTTGAGGGCAGTATTAGAACGAACAAATGGCAAGACCGAGATGGTAACGATCGTTATACGACTGAAATTCGTGGCCGTAATATGATTATGTTAGACGGACGTGGTGATGCAACAGCTTCTGGTGGTGGGTATCAGTCTGGTTCAACGAGTGATTTTAGCTCTACAGATGCGGGAACTGTTGATATTGGTGATGATGATATACCGTTTTAGATGTGGGTTGGGTTGATAGATGAAGAGGTTTTAGTATCTGGCTAAGACGTTTTTACATAGTATTTGTTGTTATCATCTCTATCGTTGGGGTG